GGTACCGTCTATAATTTTTGCGTGACTGACCAAAGAAGAGCAAGGGACCGGTGCAATCCAATCCTTTGGCTCAAACTGCCCGTCTCTGATGTACGTCTGTAAGTTCTGTTTAAGAGACTAGAAACATATTATTGCATGCTTACCACCAATCCTGTTTGTACACCAAGCCTGTGCAAATTGCTGTTAGAGATCTGCTCTTGACGATTTTGACTAAGAAAGCCTTCTTGTTGTTCCGGATATTCAGAGACCAAGTGCAAGCTCAGTGCAAATTTGAGGAATGCATCGCCTAAAAGCTCGAGTCTCTCGAGAGAAAAGCCTTCATTACAGCTTGCAGAAGTCAGTGCCATCAACATCTGCAGGGAAAAAAGAAAAACAAACAAACAAACAAACAAACAATGAAAATAATAAAACGAACTTTTTACCGTGGTTGTAGATATGTGGATGCCCACGAGTTTCGTCAGCTGCGCAGCAGTACTTAGACATTGTAGCCGGTAGATGACTGAAGGCAGGACCATCACAGACACCACAATGGAGCAGTCAACTTCTGGTTGTAAGAGAATGCAAAGTTCGGGTGGCAGCTTGTTAGTCGATATGCCATTCGACGCGCTTGACAAGTCTGTTGAACGGGGCAGTAAATAGTTGTGCACATTGCCAGGCAAGTTGCTCACTTTTAGAAGTGGTTGGGCTGGATATTGCAGTTTGACATTATGTCTGTAAGTCGCGTGTTCCAATCAGAGCGAAGAAGAAACTAACAAGTCTTACACTTCCAGAAAGTAGTCGGAATACGTATTATAGTTGCGATTGAAAAACGAGCTCTGCGCCGTCATTTCTTCAAGAACACCCAGATGAGAATAAAATAACGGTTTCCTGGTGTGCTTTGTAAGAATCAGTCCTGCTTTGATATCTGTAGCTCGCAATGAATAATTTGCAAAATGTAGAACACTTTCGTCATCGTTGTCTGAGACTATTGATGGAGGTGTGAGAGACTGAACGCATTTCCAGTCCACATCCAAAACATTTATCTTGCCAGGAAGCAGTGGCAGAAGTAAGTATGGCTGGAGATGGATTGGAGGTAGCCGTCGTCGCCATAAAGTAGAAAAAAGTTTCTCGTAGAACTGATTTCCGGCAGCAACCTTGAAAAGCAGAGCATAAGTCAAAACATTATCCACAAAAGCGACAAAATCCTTACCTTATCACTGTCTAAGCTGATATTTTGCATCGAGCCAAGCCGAACCACAGCATTTCTTCCACGTCCCAAATCCAGTTCGAAGCTTCCATTTTTGAGGGAGGCATCCAACTTTGATGGCAAGAACAGCGCAAGGTTACGATAGGAGAACCTGTCGTCACTGGCGCTAAAAGAAAGTACGTAGGTGTGGAAGGTCAGATTTTCAGAAACCAGTCCTTGGAAAACATCAGGTATGATGGTCTCGTACATATCCATCTAATATAACGTGATTACTTCAAGAAAACGTTAGTGGATTCAACACACCTGAAGTCATTGAGGCAGTATTGGAGATCCTAGTAGCAGGAACTGGATGCAATTTATCTGATAGAAGCCCAGTAGTGTGTAGCTTTCGACAAGCTTCCAGGCAAGCAATTTTCTCGAATAGAAATGTATGATAGCTAAGATTTTCAGGCTACATTAACTCTAGAAAACCGATCTTCGTTACCTGCGCAGATTCAGCTACGATTGGAGCTTGAGTCGATTGAACTGAGCCGATTGCTGGACGAACAGTGAAACCCTAGGACGCTAACGTCGTAGATTCTGACAGATCGAAGCTGCGTATGAAAACCGTTTTCATCTTTCCTTATTAAATTCATCCGGCACTGGAGAGAGCATCAGCCTACCTGTGGACATTCTTTGTGAAGACTTCTTCGCCACGGAGCCGCTGTCCGCCAGATAAGTTCGCCATCTTCAACTCGTCACAGGTACTTGCTTTGATGGTTTGTCTCTCCGGGCCTCAGCAGTGATCACAATGGGCTCAAGATTGCCGAATCAGATAGTGGATTCGTAGGTGTCGAGGACCGCTTTAGTTGGATCCACTATCACTTTAGCGTGCATGGCCTCTCTTATGATAGAGAACACAGACTCATCATCTGTGGCTGCATCCAGCACCGATTGATACGCTCTTTCTGGTTCAACCATCTCAAGCAACAAGTGGAGAGGTTCTCTCCAGCCATAGCTGTCAACTTCGCAACAGCATCTGCTGATCAAAAGTTCGATCAAGGTTCTTAAAACTTTTCACGCCTGTTTGGGGTTCATTGACGCTGTAAGGTGTCTCCTAGATCAACCGGAAAGCTCGTGAAAATGCAAACGACGAGAATACACCACACCACCCTGACATTGTGAAACGACAATTATCAAAGCTGACCTTCATATTAGCAGTGGATAAAAAACCATACTCATAATTTTCTTCTTTCTTGAAGAGTGTTCCTTCCACGAAATGCTCGGGCTTTAGTGTCCATTTTGGAGAGCACTGCACAGTACATCCAATGGTGATAATGCTAAAGCTAGAACGATAGAACCTTGGGAGTCTCGCGAAGGTAGAGAACTGTGATTATAAGATTTGTTCGTTTGGCATTCGTTTCTTGGTGATTTTAGCGACAAACTGGCGAAACACACAAGCACAAGCCGGTCTTTGTGCATGGCCAGGACTTGGCAGACTTATCTCTCTGACCTCTACACATAGCCCCAGTGTCAAATCACAAGAAAGGAAGCAAAAGAAGTCCTTATGTTCATTTGGTTAAGTATAGATGTTAAGCCTAATTTATTAATATTTAAGCAAAAGGGATTAAAAAGAGAACTAACAATATCAATCATAGTAGTAAATAAAGAATATCTAAAAAGACTTGTTAACATATAATTTTTGATATCTGCAATCACATTTGCAATATTTATGCTTCAAGATTTGCTGTGTTTTTCTATTGATGTAAGCACTTGCCATGATCGAGAGAATTGAGTTAATTTCTTCAAGTGTTTTGTTAAAGTTACTTTTAGAAAAAGTTTCCACATAGTACTAGGCTTCCTTTGCATCTACTCTCATCAATTCTTATACTCTAGGTAGTGAGTTTGAACATGTTTTTTTGCCAAGGTATTTTTTTGTTTAGGTTGTGAGGAAGGGTTTTATTTTTTCTTTGATTTTGCCACAAATTTTTTATCATAAATTTTGTTTCAAACCTTAGAAGAGTGCTTGTGAGTGAATACCCTTTATAATTATTTTGTTTTTCCTTTGTTTGAGCAACATTTAATTAGAAGGAGGTCATTTTTTCAAATTCTTAATTATGGAGTGAGTGCTGAGGCATTTTTGGGCATTTTCTTGTGCATTTTAGACCATGTGGCAAGTGTTTTACTGTCACAAGCAGTTTATTTTTTGCTTGGGGTTACCTCCAGACTTATTCCGTGACTGGGCATTTGTTGTAACTTGCATATATCATGCCCGTGCATACAAGGAGTATAAACAAGTGTTTACTTCTTAGTTCTCTCTCAACTCCCTATGTACATGGAAATTTCTCTAGCTTTAATGAGAGCTGGACTATCATACTACTTTGTTAGAGAGTGAGGATTTACCATTTGATGCAGATACCAAGTTAATAGATTCATATGGTGCCTCCCTACCTCAAATTTTTTATCAAGCTGTAGATCCACCACCTCTAGCAAAGCCAAGAGATATCCCTAAAGATCCTAAGTACCAACCAGTCATTACAAATCAACTAAGAATGGCTCAGCAATCTCTACCACCTTTGCCACCCATGCCAATGGTGCATTTGCTTTAGCACGGTCCCTTTTTTTGAGCTAAGGATAGGCATTTTAGTGGAGGATCATTTTGCAACATTTTCTTCTTATTGTGCCAACAATCAAATTATGGACGATGTGACAAAGTATGAGGTGTTCAATACATAGACATGTATGGCAATGGGTACTTGCACTGGAGGCTAAGGAGAAGTGGGACTTTGACACTCTCTTCCATACATTCAAAAGCACATTCTCTCAAGAAGTTCCCATATAACAACTCCAAGACTTGTTCTAATTTTGGCAAAATGCAAATGAGTTTACCTTTGACTATACAACACACAAGCATTTCGAGAGATCTGCTTTGATAAAAGAGTGACACAGGAAGAGTCCATCGGAGTGTCAACTTTTGTATAAGGCTTCAAGCCTAGGCTCTAAAGGAAAGTCACCAAACATTGCCACTAATGATGCTATGATGCCTACACATATGCTGTGGAGCTTGAGTTAGAGATGTTCCATAAGCTTGATATCTCATTCATTAAGAAGCTTGTTCAAGGACCCTTCCTAGTCCCTTTTCACTGAGCTAGTCACCAAGAAAATTCTTGCCACAATTGAGTCCACCTTAGCTGAGTTCAAGGAGTACAGAGTGATCTTTCAACAACTGTAAAAGCAACAAAGTAAGCTCATGGAGAAACTCTGAGCACTGAAAATGGTTGCATAGGACTACTTTCAATGACAGCTTTGTTGATGTGAGGAGTGCAAGGTTTAGTCACACAGTATAGCTCGTTGTTGGCAACTACATCCAGAGTTGCACCTACAGAGATACATGCCATGTGAGAAGAGAGTCTAACACCAATTATTTGGGGACAATACAGCCCTCAACACTTCTGTAGAGTACCATGAAATGCTCCATCAACACTAACAAGGAGGTAAAAAAAATTTACACTTCATTTCTCTATAGCAAAACTCCAGATGATCTCCTCCATGATCCATGTTTCATCCTCCACTTGGTACTTTCTATGATCCATTGGTGCTTTCCGCATAATTACTGAGCATTATCCACTTCTGAAATCCTTGCCATATGCTTCTTTAGAGGGATTTTGCGAAGTTGCAATCTAATTCGGCAATCTCAAGCCCATTATGGTCACTGCTGAGGCCCAGAGAGACAAACCATCAAAGCAAGTATCTATGACTAGTTGAAGATGGCGAACTTATCTCTTGGATCAGGGAAGTTCTCAATCATCCATGGAGGACAGCGGCTCCGTGGTGACGATGGTCACATCTCCAGGCATACTTACTTCTGCC